AAAGGGAAGGCACCAGGAGTGTTGAAACAAAATGGCTATTTTTGTCGTGATTTTATAAAATGTTTATGTTGTAATTTTCGAATGAATGATTATATTTGCTCTACTCTGTACTGAGCACTCTTTTAAGAATAGCATTTGTTAGTTATTGGAATTTATTCTATATACACCAATCCTATACTGGCTATATATATATATATATATATATGTGTGTGTGTGTGTGTGTGTGTGTGTGTGTGTGTGTGTGTGTGTGTGTGTGTGTGTTGTGAGTGTTCATTAAATTTATTCGGTAGTGATTTCGTACAGTCATATCTTGTAAAAATTTACAGTGTTTCTTTCCATATCCACAAACCTTCCGTCTCTCACGAGAGATAGGGTACCTGTCCACATTCGCAATTTAGAATAATTCTTGTTTAAAATACATCCATACATTTCCTTGAAAATAGTAAATATAAACTTAAAATTCTTGAAAAAAAAATTTACAGTAGGTAGCTGAAATTATAAAAGTTTTTACCGATAGTTCTTAATACTAATTTGAAAAAAAAAACACTCGTCAACCTGATTACATAGTTATTTCCCCTGAAATGTTATTCAAGCTAATCACAATAAAATCAGCCTTCTTCACATAACTAGTAAAAATTTTAAATTTCAGATGAACACAACAATTTTATCTTTGAAAATCATGAACACTACAATATTAGTCTTGAAATAAATAACACCATGATGTAGTAATGTAGAAAGTATTCCGAATAAAATAATATGCATTAACACTTTAATTTTCTCTCTTCATTTAATAATGGCACCAAAAAGTTTGTCCGTGAATACGAAAGGATCCAACTGAAAAGAAGTAGAGAAAGCTTGTCTAATTTGTTCAAAGAAACATGTCTTAATATATATATATATATATATATATATATATAAACATATATATATATATATATATATATATATATATATATATATATATATATATATATTCAATGGGAAAAGCAATAGATGTAATTCATGTCTTGTTGAAAAATTGGTTATCTTAAAACAATTAAATAACCGTAGCTTATGAAAACGAGAAATGAATTGATATTTAAATGTAGGCATAAAAAGAAATAACTGCTCAAATACGTTGATCTCGATTAATTTTTAATACAAATTATTAGTTTCTTTTTTAACAAACAGTAATCTCCTTTTAATTTTTAATATAAAAAATATCCACAACTCTAAAATTTGGTTTGCTTACTTCGTTCTCAAGTTTTTTGAATTTCCCTGTACTTGTATTTTGATTGGTCATGCTAGCTTTTGCAACAACGTTTTCCGCTTGCAAAGGATCGTTAATTAATTTGAAACTTTTAAAACCATTTATTTTACATTCAACATCATCACTTGATAAGACACCAGAGGTGTTGAAACAAAATGGCTATTTTTCTAATGATTTTATAATATATATTGTTATAATTTTTTAAATAAATAAATATATATATATATATATATATATATATATATATATATATATATATATATATATATATATATATTCAGCAAATTTTCATTCAAGAATTGTTTGGTTAAATAATTTAGACGTATTATGTATATTTATTTTAGTCTTAACCCTTTCAAGTTCACGAATTAATTTCCTTGTGGCTGTATGTATATATATATATATATATATATATATATATATATATATATATATATATATATATACATATATAATTAATACAAATAAATCTAATAATGTGTCACTTAGCTGATCGATGGTATATTCAGCTTCATATGAATTCCTCTTGTCGGATAGTTGGCAACTAAGCTGACATCTCCACTTTAATTTATTGCGAGTGAAGCGAATTGTTAGGATTAAAAAAATAAAAACAACTATCAAAAGGCGGCTGAATTATTGACAAGTCACCGTTCACCTAAGGTGGCTGGGTCTCAATAAAAATCTAAAAAAGGCTCCAGTTTTTTATGCAAATGAGTAAATAAAGCATAAGGGTCGGGTCACAGATTTATAAAATATAATGGATATGCTTTCCAATATTAACATCATATTGAAATTTTTTTTGATATGATATTGCTAGCTGAGATGTAAACGGTTATTGATATGTTCTCTGATATTGACATTGATATGATATTAATATGATATTGAATTTTTATATGTAAACTATAATTGATAGCTTTTCTGAAATTGATATTATATGATATTGATATGATATGATATTGATCGCTGATATGTAAACTATAACTGATATGATCTCTGATATTGATGTTGATATGATATTGATCTCTAATATGTAAACTATAATTGATATGATCTCTAATACTGATATTGATATTGGAATGATATGATATTCATCTCTGATATGTAAACTATAATTGAATGATCACTGATACTGGTATTGATATGATATGAAATTGATCTCTGATAAATAAACTATAACTGATATGATATGATATTGATATTGATGATATTGATATCTATCTCTGATATGCAAACTATAATTGATATGATCTCTGATATTGATATGATATTGAGATTGATATGATATTGATCTGTAATATGGAAACTATAATTGGTATCTCTGATATGGATATTGATATGATATTGTTATTGATCTCTAATATGTGAATTATAATTTATATGATCTCTGATATTGATAGTGAGATGATATCGATATGATATGATATTGATCTCTGATATGTAAACTATAACTGATACCTCTGATATTGATATTGATATGATACTGATGTTGATCTCTGATATATAAACTATAATTGATATGATCTCTGATATTTGTATTGATAAGCTATTGATATTGATATGATATGATATTGATCTCTAATATATAAACTATAATTGATATGATCTCTGATATCTGTATTGATATGATATTGATATTCATGTGATATGATATTGATCTCTGATATGTAACTATAATTGATATGATCTCTGATATTGATATGATATGATGTTGTTCTCTAATATGTAAACTATAATTGATATCTCTGATATTGATATTGATATGATATTGACCTCTGATATGTAAACTATAATTGATATGATCTCTGATATTCGTATTGATATGATGAGGATATTCACATGATATGGTATTGATCTCTGATATATAAACTATAATTGATATGATTTCTGATATTGATATTGATAAGCTATTGATATTGATATGATATCGATCTCTGATATGTAAACTATAATTGATATCATCTGCGATATTGATATTGATATAATATGAAATTGATCTCTTATATGTAAACTATAATTAATACGGTCTCTAATATTGATATTGATATGATATTGATCTCTGATATGTAAACTATAACTGATATGATCTCTGATATTGATATTGATATGATATGATATTGTTCTCTAATATGTAAACTATAATTGATATCCCTGATATTGATATTGATATGATATTGATATGATATGATATTGATCTCTGATATGTAAACTATAATTGATATTATCTGTGATATTGATATTGATATAATATGAAATTGATCTCTTATAGGTAAACTATAATTAATATGTTCTCTAATATTGATATTGATATGATATTGATATGATATTGATCTCTGATATATAAACTATAATTGATATGATCTCTGATATTGATATTGATATGGTATTGTTCTCTAATATGTAAACTATAATTGATATCTCTGATATTGATATTGATATGATATTGATATGATAGGATATTGATTTCTTATATGTAAACTACGCTTATTTATCGAAAGTATTAATCCACCTCTTTTATAGGCATTTGGTTTTTAATTGTAGAATTAATCAAAAATTAGGCAATGTAGGTGAGAACTGAACTCTCTACTATTGTAATTGTTTGTGAACTGCCCAGCCATTACACCCAAAACCTCTCAGCTGCCTGCAGCGAAAAGTATTAATATTTATTTCAGACTTGTGTTAGCTTCCAGGTAAAAGCTCTGATGTCGAGTTCGGAGTGTCAGTGTAAGTCGGCCCTTCCGGTTTTACACGATTCTTATAACCCCGCTTTCGTGGCAATCAATAAATTCCTGCGCGTAGAAAATTTGCAATACTAAATGTGACTACATCATAATGACCCATTCGCCCCCACTGCTTGTCACCGTATTTCAATTTCCTTGTTACGATCTCTATTATAGGCACTAACACATAAGTGCTGTGTATGTGAATGCGTGTTACGCACATACACACACACTTCCATTTTCTTTTCCCTCGTCTCTTTATATATATCGATTTGCCTTAATTTGTTTATATCTACAGACACCAAACAGTGTATATGTCTTACTCTGAGAGTTTATATAGGGGCAAAGGTTGTTAAATTCAAGCCGATGACAAATTATATAGGATAGTGACTTAAACACTGAAAGACTCACTGTTGTAGCATCATTGCAGAGTAAACTAAACTACACAGAAATGACTGAAATTAAACAGGTAGATATAAACCAAATGAGATAGATAGATAGATATGAATAGAGTGAAATAAGCTGATACATGTTCATTCTCTCATACATAGGTAGGAATAGACATATATATATATATATATATATATATATATATATATATATATATATATATATATATATATATATAATATACATAGATAGATAGATAGATAGATAGATAGATAGATAGATATGAATACACTGAGGTAGATTGATATATTCATAGACTGTCATAGATCCATAAGAATGGACATATATAATGAATACATACATAGATAGATAGATAAATAGGTAGATAGGCATGAATAGTATATATATATATATATATATATATATATATATATATATATATATATATATATTAATAGAATAGATAGATGGATATGAATAGACTGAGATAGATAGATAGATAGATAGATAGATAGATAGATAGATAGATAGATAGATAGATATGAATACACTGAGGTAAATTATACATTCGCATAGACTGTCACAGATACATAGGAATAGATATATATATATATATATATATATATATATATATATATGAATAGTCATGGATAGATAGATAGATAGATAGATAGATAGATAGATAGATAGATAGATAGATAAAGTGTGTTTTTGTGTGTGTGTGATATGTCTGTGTATACATAAGGCATTATCTATATTTCTGTCGGTGGAGTTTATTTCTGTATGTGGAGTTTAAGTGTGCATTTGCATTGAGATATTTACACAGCTGAAACCATCGACCGTAATAAAAGTAACTCATGTCCAAGGCCCTTGTTCACCAAACATTCATCACAAATTTCAACACCATCTCCTCGAAGAACCACTAACGCTAAATAAACACTCTCCGAGGAATGGTACGCGATCCTGATTCGTAAAAACAGAACCACAAGAAACCAACGTATATCATGGTACATATATATATATATATATATATATATATATATATATGGGTCTTAAGTTTACTCAAGTCAGAAATCACAATGGAGCTTTGTTGACCTTGCTCTATTGTCTTGTTTGAGACGTGAATTGACGCGTTTGATCTGTTTATTTCTGGCAGAAAAACCTCGGAGAATAGGTAAGGGATATTGGTAGAGCCAGTGTTCTCTCTTGAGTAGGAGATGTCAAACTTGTACTCGTATAAACAGGGTTAAGAAAGAAATGTTTGAGGAAAAGAAAGAAAGAAAGAAAGAAAGAAAGAAAGAAAGAAAGAAAGAAAGGATGGACTGTTGGAGGAAAAGGAAGAAAGAAAGATCTGTTTGAGGAAAAGAAAGAAAGAAAGAAAGGAATTAAATAAAAAAAGAAAGAAAATAAAGAAAGAAAGAAAGAAACGATGGACTGTTGGAGGAAAAGGAAGAAAGAAAGATCTGTTTGAGGAAAAGAAAGAAAGAAAGAAAGAATGGAAGAATGGACTGTTGGAGAAAAAGAAAGAAACAAAGATCTGTTTGAGGAAAAGAAAGAAAGAACGTTGATGAAAAGAGAGAATAAAAAGACTGAGGAAAAGAAATAAAGAAAGAAGTGTTTGAGGAAAAGTAAAAAAAATATTTCTGAAAAAGAAAGAAAGAGAGGAATGAAGAAAAAAAGTAAGAATTCTTTGAGGAAAAGACAGAAAGAAAGATATGAATGTTTGAGGAAACGAAGAAAGATAGAAAGAAAGAAAGAAAGAAAGAAAGAAAGAAAGAAAGAAATAAAGAAAAAAAAAGAACGAAAGAAAAAAGTAAATGCAAGTAGAAACCCTCACTCAGAATAAGAAAAGGAATAAATATTAAGAAAAATCAAAGGAGATAGAAAGTAGAAAAAATTGATTCTAGAAACAAAGAAGGCATAATCTGAGCTGCTCAAATTATTCAAATTATTTTTCTATTGATTTTATTATAAATAGGATATGTTCATTATTACAGCTGAATAATAATAAAAAAAAAAGACGAAGAAAAAGAAGAACAATCACGTTACAAAGAAAAAACAGTAGAAAAATGAATAAAAGCGAAAAGGATAAAAAGAAGAAAATATACAGGGAAGAGAATAAGAAAGAAAAAAGCGAGAAAGAATAAATAGTTTTAATGAATAAAAGAAAAGACCCTGACTGTAGAACTAATGTTTCTGTTAGATTTCTGTGTGAGAAATTCTAATGCAATATCCGGTTGTATTAATGTCGCCGAAAGTCATTTTCAAGCTGTAAGACATCAACCCAAGACGAAAATTTGATGGGAGTGACAGACAACATCTGAGAAACATGTTTGTCATGGTGAACCGTTCCAAGATGAGATCATTTTAATATATTCTGTGAGAACTTGTTTCCTGTTTCTGAGATAAGAAATGACAGTGTTAAATAAAGGTTCAATAAAATATTGACAAACTAAACTTGAATTGCATTGAGACGAAAGTACGCGTTAAATGGGCATGTTCCTGCGAATGAATATTCGCCAGCTTGTACGTGCTTACAGGGACATTGAACATTTTTATTACGACTTTGTTTAAATATATAATGTGGAGGTGTCGTCGTGGCCACCGTCTCAGAATATGAAGTTGGTAGGTCAAGTTCGAATTCCTACCGAGTAAATGCAATTAGGAAATGGATTTCATCAATCACTTCTCTTCACTCTAAACTCACGTATAGATAAAATAGTAGGGTAAACTGTGTACCATAGCCTTGAGAGTGAAACTACTCATGGAGATGGAAAAATATAGATGCGAAACTGTAGGACATGTAACGGAAGAGAACCGCGCTATTTTTGCCCCAAACTCTCATAGTGATTTAAACTTTACGGATATTGAAAAAAGGTTATTTAGAGCAGCGATGTTAGCATTCGATCGGGTTGAATTTACAACATCTTGTCACTAGTTGTGTTATTTAATTCATTAATAAGCATCATGAAATAAAAATCCGAAATTAATAATAGTTGTCCTCAAGAAGCTTATGAAGAATACGGTATTAATAATAAGCTGTAATAATCCAGTATAACATATATATATATATATATATATATATATATATATATATATATATATATAAGCAAATTAATTGAATCAACCGCTTTAGTTTCTTTTCTTTCATCATACAGTCAGTTTTAGACCCACTGGAGTGCCAGGATGTAATCGATTTCTATTTTTTTTTCTTAGATTAGGTGTGCAGTAATGTGAATCTATTTTGCGGGGTGTATGTCTGTCTATCTATCTATCTATCTATCTATCTAAATCTGTTCATTATCTATCTATCTATACATTTCAGTTTATCTATCTATCTCAGTTTGTTCATATCTATCTATCTATCTATCTATCTATCTATCTATCTATTATTTGAAGACATTCTTTTTATATTTATACGTTCTTTTTATAGATATAAATATTTAAGTAAATGCTCTTTTTATAATAAACAGTATTAATGATATTTACCGGCCTGGATGTCCGAGAAATTTTCATAGAAAATATGCATCTTCCGACAGGAATTGAACCTGTATCGTATACGGAACCGACATATAGCCTGACGTGCTTTTACCGATTGAGCCACAGAGGAGCGTTTCTGTTAGGAAGGTCGATTTTACTGTTTTTAAACTACAATTCTCCATGATTTTCTCTCGTACATTCATATCTGCTCGATGTAAATGTAAACAAATGACGTCACACATTATGAAATGAACAAAGTCCAACAATTATTTTAAGAGATTTTCTATGTTTATAAAAAATGTCTTAAAATAATTGTCGGACTTTGTCCATTTCATAATGCGTGACGTATATCCATCTATCTATCTATCTCATTTTGTTCATTATCTATCTATCTATCTATCTCAGTCTGTTTATATATATCTATCTATCTATCTATCTATCTATCTATCTATCTATCTATCTCAGTCTGTTTATATCTATCTATCGATTTATCTATGTATGTATGTATGTATGTATCTAACTATCTCAGTCTGTTCATATCTATCTATCTATCTATCTATCTATCTCGATGGTTGACCGCTTGGAAGTACCAGGTGTTGTAAGTTTGAATGTCCGTATGGCGCAATGCATAATAACTGGGAATTGTTAATCAGAGAGCCAAGTTCTAATTCCAGTTGGGTTCGATTCATCCTATCCACCCTTTCCCTATCTATGATTTCATTTGACAGAACTGCATCACTAAATCGTTAATATCTAAAAATGTTCTGTCTTTAAATAATCTGCAAAGACTCGATAAACCGTAATAAGTAAATCAGTGAATGCCACTAAAAACAATTTAATCAATTCACAACACGGAAGGCAGTAATGCCACTAAGATGCATGGGTTACTGGGAGTGAAAAAAGAATTGAAGATACCGGAAACCCAATCCTAAACTAGAAACAAGGGAGAATTCTCTACTCCTATTCAATAGCCGCGGAAGGAGGAGTATGAACCGAGCGATAGGCGAATGTATCTACTCCTATTAAGATTGTAATGGCAGGGAAACATCTTTTCGGTAGTCTGTCACGTAAAGTGGCGACTCTTGGAAAAAAGATGTCCAAATGAAAAGTTCTTCTTACCAGTGGAATACGAAAGGAACGAAGATGTTTCGCCCCTGTGTTTATGGCACGGCGCGTCTTAGCTGTAAAGATCTGAACTGGTGGTACAAGGGAATGTACACCGTCAGAACATTCCAGAGAATCTAGCGGCAGGATAGCGAGTTTTGCGATATAACGTATATGAGAGAAAAGTTGAAAATAATTCATCGTCAAGGCCGCGTAAACGTTTTTAGAGAAAGAGGATTAGTCAGGTCCAGTTTACACTATTTACATTATTCGGACTATTGTCATCATCTTTGTCGCTATATTTATTACAACCTCCCGGTTTTCGGAATGTCGAACTGAACCCTTTATTTCGCTCACTGGGGTAGACTGTTCTAGATCCACGTGCCAGGTTTTTTTAATGGATGTCAGTTATCAGTTATCTCCTGTTAATTCCCCTCTCCAAGTTCTCCACCACCTTATGCAGGTATTGAACTCACACTCTTTGGGTCTTGTCACTGGATTTAAATGACGCCTTTATCCATTGTGCAATGTGTCCTTGAGGGCATACGTGTATAAATTTCTGGGTATTATAAAACTAATGTTTCAGCATCATTTTTTACCAGTGCTCATATTGCAAATTTTGTTGTTATCATTGCATGTTTTTTTACCAGAGCTCATATTGCAATTTTCGTTGTTATTATCGCATTTCTCTGGCACCTCTTTACTAATGGTTCTCATATTATATTTATTTCTATGCTAGGTCGGCTCAGGAGATTTTGTGGCATAGCATATGTGCTGATTTATTCATTTATTTGTTTAGTAAAGATATGTAACGCCAGTGGAAAGAAACTGCCTATTTCAAATTGTTAATAACTTTTATTAATTATTCGTGGATTGTCATTTAACATGTTCCATTTTTAACAGTATAATGATCGAAGCACAGTACACAGCATTTCCTGAACCTTACGTTTACTTCCAGTCCGGATGCTGAAGGATGAACTCTTTTATTGGGCATCTACCCCAGATCCCGTACTCATCAGCTTGGAATGACAATTTCTGTTGACTATAGGATCGACAGAAACACGAAGTCCATGAACGCTTCGCTACCATCGCTGCATTTTACCAAAGACTGTCACACTTCGTAACGGGAAGCTAACTGAGAACGCTTATGGCCTGCCAGACCTTGTCCCATTCTTGAATACATTTGTCACTATGAAATAAAAGCAGAAATTAACGATGAAATTCTATCAATTTAGGAATCGCAATATATTTTGTTTCATGCAAATGTGGGTATATTAAAAAATTTATAATTTTCAATAGAGAGTTTCTTTTCACCCATATATATATATATATATATATATATATATATATATATATATATATTTAAATCATTAACCTCTATATTTGTTTTTATATGAATGATTCATGTAATTATAAATTGAACTGCACCTATAATCGAAATTAAAATAACTGATCCAACGTGCAACTTTCGGATAATAAGTGTGACATTCCTGTAATTATTGAACAATATAGTTCATGCCACATTGACGGAAAACCTACCAGTATAAAAAAGAATTATCTTATTACTATATTTGTACAAAACGCACAACCTTAAAATTTAAAATTCAAACTCAGCGTTGTGACCGCACGTTCCAAAATAATAACACATTTCTCATAGCATTTTTTTCGGATTACATCTCTATTTTCGTTGTCCTCTTATTACCGAGAAGTAAAAAACAAGAACAAATCTATTTCCATACCTGAGGATGTCTGTAGGAACAGACGAAAGCTTGTAAAAACTAAAAAGACCTTATGCAACTGGAATTTATAAACAGGGATCATATCATTCATATACAGGTTCGGGGTTAGTGTACCTTATTGAAATTGTTTGCGAAGATGTATTCTCGCCATTTAAATGATTAACCTCTATATTTTTTTTTTTGTATGAATGATTCATGTAATATATATATATATATATATATATATATATATATATATATATATATATATATATATATATTGGGTTTTGAGAATTTTTCAGAATGTTTTATTGTCATGGTCTTTATAAGTGAAATTACATAAAATTAGTCAGCAATATAATCACCGTTGCTGTTGATAACTTTTTTTCCATCGCTCAAAAAGGTTTTCTATTACTTAACGATAAAAAATCTCCTGGTTTTGAATTGAAAAATTCAACCAACCAAATCTTCAGTTCCACATCAATATTGAACGTTAAACCACGTAATGAAAATCTAATGATGCCAAGTCTGGCGAGCACGGAGGGTGAGGCAACACTTCCCATCCAAATTCTTCATATTGGCGATGTGAGGACGGATGGGATTTGTCGTGTTGAATAAGAACATTCTGTCGCCGATTCGGTCTTTTTTGTTGAATTGTTTCACGGAGACGGTACAGTTGTTGAACATAAAACTCGGCATTTGCCGTTTGGTTTCGCTCATGTAATTCAAAAGGAATTATACCTTCCCAGTCCCACCATATACACAACATGGTCGTTCGAGGGTGAAGGTCTTGTTGAATGTTGAGCCATTGTTTATCGCCAGTGACAAAAGGATAAAGGAAACGCTGTTTATGACCGTATGTTGAGCGATGCCGAGCCAGCAAAATGGCTGCAATTGTTGGGCGCTGATTCTTTTTGTGGTCATTCAACGCGTGTTTCACCCATGACCCAAGTTTCTGAACCTTCCTCATTGAATGAAGATAATTTACCACAGTTTTGTGATGTCACTTTATCTGTTCCACCAATTCTCTGATCGTTTGACGTGGATTTCTGTGAAGAAACTGGTTTAATCGCTCTCCAACGAACTCAACTGGTCGACCAGGGCGCTCCCCATCCTCCAGCTCAAAATTTCCTTTTTTGAAGCGTGGAAAGCAACATCGGGCGGTACTCTGAGGCATTGCGCCATATTCATATGCTTCACAAACCCCACGAGCTGCTTTGGCGGCATTAACTACATTTTAGGGCTCTGAAA